GGGGGGGGCAATTTTTCGTTGTTGGTAGTTTAACAACTAAAGACAGTAAAATTCAAGCTTTACGCAACATCGTTGTTTCTACGTCGTAGCAGTCACACAGTCAAACACAGCAACAGTTTCCCATTTCTGAGTAGGAGAGGTTCTTTTATTAGCTCGGCAGCCTTTGTGTTCGATGAAATATAATCTATAAAGCCGATTAGGACGATGTTACGCCCTTTCCCCATCCCCACCACCCTTTTTTTTGTCTTTTTTTCCCAAAGGAGACAAAAGAAAAAAGTGAAAGTAGACAAAGTAATCGCCGACTTTTGATTGGAATACAACTCTATAAGGACCTAAATTTCTGCCTACCTACTTGTGGGATAAAGGTACTTTAATATACGGAAATATACTTTGTACCCAAGGTCGAAAATTGCTCCTCTTTTGTGCAATTGATATAGCTTAATTCCGATGGCATTTTTTTTAGAAAGAGAAGTGGTGAAGATTCTGCGGTCACCAATTCTTAATTTTGCAATGTACGAATCTGAAGCCGTAATTATTTGCATGATACAAGGGATTTATGACCAATAAAACACAAATATATGAAGTAGAAGACAATAGGAAACATGTTACAAAACAACTATTTTCTGTGATCAACAAAGCCGATAGACATTTAAGTGACGCATATTAGTTTTTGCTTGCCTTTACCAGCGTTATCCTCTCTTCTTCGCATGTCCCCTTATGTAAATGTCATCAGGCTGTATTCACAAAGCTCGTCTCACGTCACACAGACGCCAGTGGCAGCTATGGCCTGTGACGCAGTTATAATAAACCTCCAGAGGCGACCACAGATTTAGTACAGGTAGCTTGCCTGCCTACATTGATCGGCGGAACAAAGTGCTACATTGTATCAGAGTGTGGTAGGCTGCTCAAACGGTAAAAAGTTTCTTTTATTTATGCGTTTTCTATTTATGTGTGTACTGCAAGAGATCTGAGCATTTTGTGACACAAGACCAAGTTTCTTTTTATGTCCTGGTTGTTTCTAAAGTGCACTTTTTTCTTTAAACAAAAAGAAAAACAAGCCAACTGGAAATAACGTCAATTTTAAAAACAATTGAACGATTATTACTATCGTAAGTGTGCCGTGGATTTCTAGACTGGAAATTATAGTTATTCTCTCTTAACCTACTCCGGGGGGGGGGGGGCAAAGAGAGAGAGAGAGAGAGAGAGAGAGAGAGAGAGAGAGAGAGAGAGAGAGAGAGAGAGAGAGAGAGAGAGGGAGGGAGGGAGGGAGCTAGAAAGGCAGAGAAAGAAAGAGAAGAAAGAAAAAGAGGGGGGAGATTCAGGCTTAGCAGTATGGCGTCCTCTCTCCGTAAGCAACTGTACTTTCGATCTTGGCAGACATCGACAAATCGACTGATTGCAATACCTCTGGCTTCGCTCTGTCGCCATACCTGTCAAATTGCGCTCTCACAAGGGAGGCCATTGGCACGTTACGCGAAGCTGTGAGCTCCCCATGGCCTCCCAATAAAACGTCCTAACAGCCAGCGGTTTATAATGGTGTTAGCGTGCGGATGAAAACACTGTGGACAAAACTGTCTCTGGATGGACTTCTCTTCCTGTGAATGATACCAGAATGTCTTTGTGAGGGTTTGTCTTTTCTTTGATTGTTTTCTTTATCTACTGTAACAGACTTAATTATTACTGCGTATAACCGTTGCCTCCCTTTAATCTAAAGACATATATTCTCATATTTTCCCCAGGTGTCAACAGAAGAAGAAGAATAAGTGGAGTCGTTTTTAAGTTTTTATCTAATATTTTTTTAAGGAGGTGGGGTGGGGGGGTGTCAAGATCTGCAGCATTTTAGCATCATTGATTAAGAAAACATGCATTTAGTTATAGCTAGTCAGTTTCCAGAAAGTTGTTTATTCTGTGAATATCGTTTAACCTTTAACCTTTTATTGTATTCGATGTACAACTTTTCTCTATAACAGAACTTCCGTAATTTACATGTAATAATGAGTCCACGTTACACAATGACACGTACTTACAAGTGGCAACATTTCCCACGATTGTTCATCAAAAAATACATCGCTGACATCTGGCTCTAGCCATGTATGAGGGTGAACATTGATTTGTCTTAAAATTGAAAAAAAAAAAACAGAATTGCTCAAAATTCTGTGCACACTGCTCTTTTAATAACGTAAAGCATCATTGACTCAAACTGCAGCTGTTTGTTAAAATCTAATTTGGTGGATACACGGTTACCGCCGGACACCGACGCACTCATCTTTCTTGTCCATTCTCAGGGGGATTTGACTAATAACACAGGATAATTCTGTGGTAGCCACGTGATCCATGTTGAGAAGGATTAGAAAATAATTTAAAAAAAAAAAAAAAAAGTATTCAGAGAAAATCGGCGGGGCTAAAACAGTTCGGGAAATGATGAGACCTCGAGTACGAGTAAAAATTACGATTAAGACCCTGTCTCCTGACAAACGCCAAATTAAACCGATTTATTGTCATCGCGCGGTCATTCACCCTCACCTAAATGTGTTAATGAAGAATGAGAATTTGCTTGACGTAGGGCCTAGGCCTTATAAAAACATGATAATAGTTTATATTGGAACATAATCGAAAAACGAAAATTTTAGTGCGTGGTGTCAATTTGGTGTCATTAATAAAAACGAAAAAAAGATTATGTCACTTACGGCCGTCAAAATGTAATTATAAAACGGGATATTTGATGGAATGCGAATTCCAGGAAAATACACGACGTGAGTATAGGCTACAATGTAGGTGGAACATATCTAGAAGCTGTGTAAAACCTGAGCCACTCTGTGTTACAAGAGGAAATGCAACGAGCCTGCATCCTTTGAACCTTTCATCTTTTTAACACCATTCAATCTACTTTTAGTGTAGCATCAGTTTCCATTACGTCAGAAATTATGTAAGAATGAAGGAATTGAGCTTACGGAAAATGGGAAATAATTAATTGACCTGTAGAGGCATGATTTTTTATTATGAAGGTCACACACAAAATGCAGAAGAATTGAAGAAGAGGAAATGTCTGTTGATTCAAACTGAGGGCGACGTAGCTGTAAAACACTAAAAGACTTATTCTCGTACTTTTTGGCCCCGTTATTAATGCGTATATTTTAAAAAATTGTTGGTAGGGATATTTTAAGAAGTTTATCAAGTTCAGAAAACAGTAAGGGTAACAAAAATGTAGCAATCTGAAGGATTCGAGATTCCTGTTCCAATTTCGGCAAATCCAGGCCCCTTTATTGTGCCTCTATAGCTCCCAGTTGGTCTTCCTCGTTTTCTTTTTTCAATTGGTTTCCAGTAGCATGTCTGATAGGGCAATCTTTTCTTCGGCATTCAAAGAACGAGTCCTAGATATCTCCAACTCTTTTTAATGATTGTGTTGATATCTCTATTCCAGCTCTTTCCAACACTTCATTATATGTAATAAATTCGTTCCAATTTATTAGTAAAATTATTCGTAAACATTTTGTTTGGAAGCTTTTTAATTTTGGTTGAATTGTTTTGTTTGTTTTCCAAATCAAACAAAAAACAATGAAAAATTCACCCGTCACCTTCCTGTGTTGCCGTTTTGGTGCTCTTTAAAATATTTCACCTGAGTTGTTAACTGCATTAATTGAAGAAGATTAGAAGCTGAGAACAAGTTTCTTACTGTCTAAAGCTAATTAACACACTTCATGGGGAAAACTGCAAAGCAAACAGTGAATAAGAATCTGCATGGCTGAAAATGGAGAATTACGAGCTTTGACATCAGCAAAGGATTACATACTAATAATAGTGTTTTCAAAATTCGTTTCACAACTTATCCTCAAATATCTCTTTAACGGGTCACCCATAGTAGTTTGTATCTATTTGTCTTTACTTAATCTTATGTTTTCCACTACAACTGAGATTAGATTTTTTTAAAGGCTTTCTTCACAAATCATACTGCAATTCTCAGTTCGCGCGAAAAATGAAGTGTTCACAGAACTACTTCCGCTTCTCAGACATACTTTGCTTACGTAATTAGCCTACGTTAGAGATCCCCAATGACATTTATTAGTGGTAAAACGTTAACCCGCACATTAATACGATCACATGAAAAATGGCAAGTGAAATTGTGAAAAATTTCTCTCCATACTTTATAATTAGACTGGTGAGAAGCAGTATGATGGTGATGAGGAATTATAATCGCATACAACGGCGGAAAGGTGGCTTGTTGTGTTGCCGTCATTCTTAGTTTTATTTGATACCGGTAAGACTGCGATTCTTCAAACATTCTTCGTAAAAGCTTTAAGCTTTTTCCTGCATCATTCACTGCACTGAATGTTATTAAAACCTGGGTTCCATAAGTATAGTGTTGTGATTTTAGAAGAAATAAGATGGATTGCTTTAAAAATTGCTATTGTCCCAGCTCATAGGATTTAGCCTTTTGAAGTCTGTAAAACCGTCGACAGGGATTTTTTTTCTGAATACATGAAGGAATTATCATGAATACAGAGCATAGGTGGTTTAAAGAATAATCATCAGTTCAGACAAATTGATATAGGTTTAGCATTGTGCAAAAGCTGGAGATTCTGTGTCCCATAGTTGGGGAAATGTTTTATACCAAGTTGCGCCATAAATTTTTGACTGCTATTTAGGCTGTGATTTCATATCCTCTCCTTTCACCGAAATAACTAAGTCCTCCACTAATGAACGATACCTCCCAGTTTTGCAAGCACTACTTTAAGCTATAAGTTCAGGGGACAACATCTGTTTCCGTGAGGATTCAAGTTCATGACCTGTCTTGTGTCTTTCCCGCGGTCATTTTGGAGTTCATGCCTCTTTTGCGTCCATTGTCTCTTCTGGTCTTCTTCTTCCTATTGCTTTTTTCGACTGATCCATTGCCCAAGTTTTCAATTATCAACACCCTCATTGCTAAGATGCGTTCATCAACGTTTGTACAGACAAGATAAAAAGTTTATTCAAGGCAAACTAAAACAAAGCCGTTGTATTTCTACATTTAACCCTATCCGAACGTTGTGTTTTACTATCGTATCCATACAACGTGGGGAACTCTGTGCCACGACTTTCCAAAGAGGAAATGGCCCGCTAATTGATCCGTACTCTTTGCATAGCAGTCTGTCAAAATGATTTTTTGAGAAATACTGAAAGCTTCACAGAGATTTTCGTACTAGAAATATTCTAAAATGTGAAAAATACAAACCATGGGGTTACAAAATAACCCCAGGGCGTACGGATAGGGTTAATGAGAAAACAGAATCGCACAGTGGTAATTACACCTCTTTATACTTCACTTGTGGACAAAGGGGCAGAGAAGCTGTTGTAGAGAATACAAGCGTGTATACATCTGCACAGCAGGGAAGAGGTTAATGGTGTTTGGCCAATGTGTGTGAGGGGATTCTCCGAAAACATGTAGCTATGGAATTCAAAACAAAGACAGCCAAACATTTTTATACCTTTGGCCCACTACGAGTCCATTTTTTCGAAACAGAAAACAATGTCTCAACACGAGACAGCGGCGTGTTTGTGATGCATAAAAGATCGGTCCCGTCATATCATGCACGAATTCCTGATAAAACAGTTCGTAGCTTTGAATGCCGGGCAACAATGTAAAATTTGTGTCTGCTCCTTGTGGATTCCTGTAGATTTGCTAAGGGGAATGAGAGTGAGGAGGGGGATGAATATTTCGCAGGTGCACCAGCAAAAAAAATCAACTCCTCTAAAATTGAAGTAGCATACCATGGCAACAATGTTCTCGGGGATGGTGTTTGTTCTAATGTACGGTCATTCTCTTCCTTGTTTCCTTCTGTCTTTTTCCGTCATTCAGGCATAAAACAAGTCAATGCGTGTGTAAATCAGCACGAGAGAAACAAATAGGGGATGTCTAACAAGCCGCCGAACTGCACTACTCAGTGTGTGTGTGTGTGTGTGTATGTGTGTGTGTATGTGTGTGTGTGTGTGTGTGTGTGTGTGTGTATGTGTGTGTGTGTGTGTGTGTGTGTGTGTGTGTGTGTGTGTGTGTGTGTGTGTATTTACAAAAGACATCGGGCTGCCTTGTTCTCAAAACAACATATTAATCTGAGTCGTTGTGAATACTCTGTTTGTTTTTTCTTTGTTTGTGAGTGACAATGAGCAGGAAACACTACCAAATCAATATTATAGAGCAGTGGTGGTGACTTTTGAGACACCCAGATCAAAAACAAGTGATCTAACCGTCATTGCGTGTGCAGGCTAGGTGAGGTAAATTTTGAGAGTTCAATAAGACCTATCTTACTTCAAAGTTGACTAAGTCGTCACTAATTAGAATTCTTTAACGTCAAAGGATTACAATCTAGGGGTCACGAAAATTGGTGACGTGAGTTTCCGTAGCTTTAGGCCGGCCTCACATAGGGCGTCACTCGACGCGTCACGCGGGTGAATAGACACCGCTCAGTATAATTTTAGCGGCACTCTTCATATTATAAGCAGTTGCCTCACGCAAGTCACTTTGTAAAGCGTGTGTTCACGTGAAGTGAAGAATTGCAAGCTGATTCTTTTTTAGGCGTGTCTCGTCACCTTTTGCGTTGAGTACAGCTCTAGTAGATGAGTGCTTAGCCCAGTCTTAGCAAACTGTCCAAAAA